GGGCTGCCTGCCAACATACTCCTGGTGCGCCTGCTGGATGGCATCCGCCAGAGGCCCCGCACGGGTGCCAGCCCGGGGAGCAGCCCACCTGCGCGCCCGGGCCCCAGTACGTTCCCGGCGCTCCCTGGAGGCGCGACCGGCAGTCCTCCGCGTTCTCCGGTCCTTCTTCCAGCGGCGACAGGCAGCTCTACCTCCGGTTTGTGCGACGTGGCGACTAACAGGAGCGTGCCAGTGGCTAAGGTAAGAATCTACCCCGATGACATGGCGCCGCTGTGTGGGAAAGTGTATGCTTGTGCGCACGTGGATGTACGAGTAATTGTGGCCAGACTAGCCATAGCTCTTCCGTGGCCCACTGGTTTGTTTTATTCTTCTTTAGCAACTTCTCTGTGCTCCCGCTTAACCAATTCTTGGCTACATCCCACCACTGCACCTCCAAACCCTTACCCCAAACTTCTTGTGGGCATCCCAGTCGCTTTCCAAACGCATAGAGCACATCTGCCCCATGACCTGTTCAGATATATGAACCATCCTCTTACTAGGTGAGTATTGCCTTCTGAACGCCATCAGTTCCATTTTGATTAGGCCTGTTCTATCTGTTTGTTCGTCCATCCATCCTGACTGTGTGCATCTGTCTATCTATCTATCTATCTATCTATCTATCTATGAATCTTTCTTTCTTTCATCTACCTATCATCTACCTACCTACCTACCTACCTATCATCTATCTCATTAACTTTTTGTTGCCCTTCCAAATCCCCATAAACAACCATCTTCCCCTACACCTCCAGAGTCTTCCTCCTCGCCCTCAGCCGACCTGTTGGGAACTTGCTGCTTAATGGTCCCCTGGTTCAGATCACTGACAGAGACCTGGTGGCCTCTTGTCTGTTTAACTGTCTGCTTAAGGGGGACAGGACAGAGGGCAGAGTGGGCAGACACTGCCACAAGAATAACTACAGCTGCCTTCCGAAGGAAGAAAGGAGTTTCCCTAGGGTCTCCAGGAGTGTTTTGTCTTAACCTCGGGGTTGGCGTTCTCTTGCCAAGCCCAGGTCCTGTCATGGGCTCTTAGGCAGGGAGGCTTTCCCACCGTTGTTTTTAATTTTCATTATTAGATTTTGTACAGCTGCTTTATATAGACTTCACTACTTCTGTTTTAGATGGAAGACTTTTTCTGGATGGCTGAGTTTGAGTTTTCTGTAGACCAGAAGAAAGGGTGGGTGACAGTAGTCAGGAAATAGTCATTCTTTCTTAGGATGGTCGTTGAAGGACCAAAATTTAAATTTGGCTTTAATTGTGATTAAATCCAGCTATATGCACCATTAGAGGTTCAGAAGCTTTTCTTTCCTGTCTGTGTTGCTTGGACTATAACATTATAATTAAAGGTTTTTATTTGCAACATTAGTTGGTTACATCCTCCTGCTTAAGTAATTATGTGACTTTGGAACTATGACTCCCGTGATGCTCTGGCACTTTGATGACTGCCAACAGAAATCGGTCCAGTTCACCTTGAGCCGTGTGGTTGGCCTGGTGCTTACTGGGAAGCCTCTGATGTAGGAAAAGCACAGCCTCAAACAGCTTCTGGAACCTTAATGCCGTTCAATGCTTTATTTAGGACTTGTTCACAAGGTGGAAGCTTGTAGCTTTAGCAATAGTGCTTGAGTATAAGGAATTCATGTTTGGTTCTTTAAGATTTTGAGACCCTGAAGGTTGGTGTTCTGTATGGCCACGTATACCATGGTTTAGGATGTCTGCACTTCTGGGAATTTGAAAATGTATTTTCTTTCTTTGTGTTGTGTTAACTAGAATGCAGGCTTTCTTTCATGGTGGTCTCTGAAGGACCAAGTTCAGGTTTTGGAGAAAAGTTAGAAATAAATCTAGTGTTATTTGCTTATGTTCAGAGAAGAGAGTAGCAGAGGCAGAGGCTGTAGTATTTGTAGCTTTTGTTCATTTATTTTTAGTAGTCACTGGGCTGCTTCTTGGTCAGCTGGAAGCCCCGTGTGCTACCGCCACACTACCACTTTGGGATAACAGCATTATGTCTCTAGGGGACAGTGATGGACGTGAAAAGAGAAAGGGACTGGAATTGCATGTTATGTTGTGGAAGCCACCTCTAAACTAAAATTGCTCCCAGATAGGCTCTTGGTACCCCACTGTCCCTAAAACTGTATTGTTGCTTTCTAGTGAAGCTGAATTCTGGATGTTGCTGTATGTTGTTTAATAAATGGAAATTCATTCCATCGTTTTCCAGATGCCAAGTATGACCTAATAGTGACCATAAATGTCACCTTTCCCCTTTCTTGATTAGAAGTCCCTCAGATCTTTGGGGTCAATGGAGATACGTAAAAATTTTAAGGTATGTAAATTATAGATAGATATCTACATAACTTATCTACATTCTTAACTCAGTTGAAGCTGAATCCGGGGACTGTGTCAAGTATAAAGTGAATTGAAGTTCTGTTTGGTTTCATGTGCAGGTCACAAAACGCATCCTTTTGAGCAGGATCTTGGATGTCTTCAGCATCCTTGGGAGTCCCCTACCTGACAGGAGAGCCTCTCAACCCTGTTCTCACATGAGTGATTTGAGATGAGTCTTTAAAAAAAAAAAATCAGTTACTGATGCTGCCCATAGAAATCTTGTACTAAGTTAAGAGCACACCCATTGCCTTGTTTGGGATTATCGTTTTCTTTACCTGCTGGTAAATACTGTCTCCTTTTGACTTCTTAAAGTGCTGTTGAAAAGTCTGGCTTGAATGATAACAGTAAAACTATTGAAACTAGTAATGTGTGCTAAGTTTTTCAACCTAGCTTGTTTATTGTCTTGAAAGTTTTGTGAGGGAGCCCCTTTAATATCCCAAACTATCACCAATTGGGTTGTGTTAGGACAATCCAAGAGTTATATGGGAAGGTGTGTGTGGGGGGGGTGCCAGAGACTCTGGATTCGATCCGTAGCAATCCAACAAATGGAAACAGGCAGGCAAACAAGGATTCTGCCAAAGGGTATTATGGTTTCAAATTGAATCATTTAGAGATTGAGTTTTTAATATGAAGGATTTAGTAAGGACTTAAGTATATGACAATTCCTACTCAAACAAGTGCTTTTATTTTTGAATATTCTTTGCTTTTATTTGGACATATAACCTGTTAACTAGCTATATTGTTATAATAACTCACAGTGGTCTCTCATTATGGACTTGACCTAAGGGAGTGGGACAAAAGAGATGTTCTTGGCTCTTTAGGAGGCCTTTATAGTCACTGGCTGGTGTTTGTGCCGAACTCTGTGAGGTGTGAGAGTAAAGATGTTTTCACAGCCTGAAGCATGTGGAAAGCTTGACAGTACCTTTGATGAAATAAGAGTGGGCTCAACTACAATCCACACCACCGGAGAGGCTGGGAAACAGGGAGTACCCTAAGAGAGACATGCATGGTACCCCGGAGAAGAGGAAGGGGCTAGAATTTCCTGAGCAGATTGGGAACATGGGGGGAGGGGAGAGGGAGCTGGGAGAAAGAGAGGGAGAGAAGAGGAGGGGGGAGGAGGAAATGGAGGGACAGGAGGGTTGAGTTGGGGGAAGAATAGAGGAGAGCAGGATGAGAGCTATCATAACAGAGGGAGCCATTATAAATTTGAGGAGAGATCTGGCACTAGGGAGAATTCCAGAGATCTACAAGGATGAGACCAACTGGCAATCTAAGCAATAGTGGAGAGGCTTCCTTAAACGCCCTTCCGCCGATAATGAGGTTGATGACTACCTTATATGCCACCCTAGAGCCTTCATCCAGTGGCTGATGTAAGCAGAGGCAGACACCCACAGCTAAACACTGAACTGAACTCTGGAACCCAGTTGCAAAGAGGGATGAGTGAAGAGCAAAGGGGTCAAGTCCAGGCTGATGAAACCCACAGAAACAGCTGACCTGAACAAGGGGAGCTCATGGACCCCAGACTAATGGCTGGGAGGCAGCATGGGACTGATCCTGACCCCCCCCCCCCCCGAATGTGGGTGTCAGTGAGGAGGCCTCAGCAATCTTTGGGACCTCTGGTAGTAGACCAGTATTTATCCCTGGCATATCAATGGACTTTGGGAGCCCAGTCCACATGGAGGGATGCTGTCTCAGCCTGGACACATCAGGGAGGACCTAGGCCTTGCCCAGGATGGTATGACAGACTTTGGTGATTCCCCCATGGAGGGCCTCACCCTCCCTGGGGCTTCTAATTTAAATAAAAATAAATTTAAAAAGTAGGCTCAAGAGTTAATAGTTTGTCTATATTTGTCTTCCCATCTTCCCCTCCCCTATGCTGGGGCAGGAACATATGTATGGATACTGTGTCCTGAGTTTTACCATGGTCCCATGTTGTATATCTTTGTGGCTTGTTTTAGCAACTATGAAAGAGGGCCTCATGAAGCCCAGAATGGTCTAGAATTGCTTATGCTTCTAAGTATCACTCTGAACTCATGCTCTGCCTGTCTTCACCTTCTGGGTGTGCTTAATTCTGAGAGAAACCAGATAGCCCGTATGGTGGCAGACAGCTGGTGACATGAGAGCGTTGTCCAGGGAAGAGGGTGTCTGAGGTGTCTGAAATCAAATTCACCTGATCCCTGGCCATCAAATTTGAAGGGGTTATATCTTTCCTTTTTAATGCTTCTGAGGGCTCGGCATAGTAATCCTACCAAGTAAACGGAGAAGTGATCCTTTGGTGGCCCACGGAGATTGATATCTAGGTGTGTCAACCGTGTCAGGCTGTGTCCTCAACCACAATCCTTTGCCTTTCTGCTTGGCAAATAGTCAGCCATGTGGGAATAGAGATGCTTGGATTCTGAAAGAACCCATAGGGTATCAGCTAGTTGGTGACATGAGAACCTTGCCATAGTCGTGTCTGCTCAGGAAGCTTGAGAGTGTGAGAACAGCACTTCAGAGACCACAACATTTGGTGCTGTGTTTTTACTGGTGGTTATTAGTGAATAGTCCAAACTACTATTCATTGAGCACCCACTGTGTGCCATAGTTTTTACAGAATATTGTATCTTTCTTTTATGTTTTAAGTTACAGATTCACTCTGTGGCCCATGCTAGCCGTGAACTCTTAATCCTTCTGCCTCAGATTCCTGAGTGCTGGCGTTGTGTGTGTAGCATGTGTGAGCTATCTGTTCTTGACTGCAGCCCTGTGAGGTAGCTAGTAACATAGGTCAGAAAATCAAGAGTGTAAATCTTCCTTCTACTGAGTGGCATGCAGTTAGTAGACTACTGGGA